AAAATATTAATAAAAATATGTTGCAATATTATATTGTTTCTGAAACGTCTGCTCATATTGCATCATTTTTTGAAATTATTAAACGTTGTCTTATTATATTAACTAAAGATACAATCGCTTCAAGAAATATAGAAGAAGATGTTAAATTTAAAAGAAATACAATTGTTGATTCATTTAAAGAGGATATCCCATTACCTACACAAAGTTCAATTAAATCAAAAAGTATAAGTGATAATACTCATAATTCTTCTTCTGTTTCAATTGAAAAAAGTTTAAAAGATAAACCAAATCAAAAAAGTTATACTCATTGGGAATTAGTTAAAGATGATGTTTCATTAGTAATATTAGATGTTATTGAATTAGCGTTTAATGGATTATTTGGAAGAGAAAATTGGTTAATGCAAAATCTTACAAATATTATTTCAACTACAATGTTTAAAATTACATTTACTGGTCATTATGCAAATTTATTCCTTAGATTTATTAGAAGATTATTAACGTCAAGAGGTAATTATATTTTTAAAGAAAATATTAGTTTTGGATTTAACATTTTAAAATCTACTATTTCTCTTTGTGACAATGAAGATTATGAACTTAGACAAGCTGCTACAAGTGTTTTATATTTATTTGCTAAAACCAATTATCAAGTAACTGGTGATACTCTTTCTAGTAGAGTTTATGCAATTAGCTCCATTGCAGAACAAAATAAAAATAATTATTCAATTATTTCTAAAGCAATTGAAGTTCTTCCACAATGGGCACTACTTGATGCAACTGCAATATCACAAAACCATTCAACAAATGAAATTGAAATACAAAATAGTAATGATAATGAAAATAAACATAAAAATGATTCTATTAAAAGAAAAAAAGAGTTAATTGAAAGTATTGATAATGAACGTGGAGGAGATGGAAGATGGTGGGCAAAGAAAAGAATGCTAATTTATTTAAGAAGAAGATGGGAAAAATCTAATGAAACTATTCAATTAATTGATCAAATTTTAGATAAAATTCAAGACTCAGTAGAGAAAGAAGGAAAAGTTGGAGAATTAAGAAGAAAGGCAAGTGATCAAGCAATTAACATTTTAACATTATTTAGAAATATAACAGCAAATGTTGCCATTGAAAATGATTATAATAAATTTATTGACTGGCAAATGAAAAAATTAAATGAATTAAAAGAAGAATTAGATAAATTTGAAAAAATTTATAATGAGTTAATGTCTGTAGGTGGATCTATGGGAGGAAGTGTGTCTGATTATAGAATTGTAGAAAGTAAAGTAATTGATTTATGTAATGATAGAAAACATGTGCTTGAGTCAGAACAAAAAGCTAAAAGTGTTGGGGTAATAAAAAAAGAAGAATTTATGAAAGAACACGAAACTCAAAGAGAGGTTATTGCAGAAGAATTTTCATTAATTTGTAAAAGACTTGCTGAAGGAAAAGATATGCAAAATACTGCACAAAAAGCTATTGAAGAATTTAATAAATTAAAAAATAAAGCTGGAAATGCTCATGATAAAATGAGAGTTTTAGATAGTGCTAATGGTGGAACTAATGTTTGGGAAGTATTGTTTGGTCAATGGAAAAGTATTCTTCCTAAAACTACTGAAATTATTCAAAGAATTATTGATTTGCAAATTAAATTAAAAGAATCTGAAAGAGATCGTATTGATATTCAAGAAAAGGTATTTGGTGAACTTGCGGCAGCAGAAGAATATGTAAAAGTAGCAGCATTTGAAGTTGATGCATTAGATGTATTAAGTTTTGAAGGAGATGATGTAAAAGAAATGAAAGAATTAGCAGAAAGTTTAGTACGAGATTGGCCAGCAATAGAAAAATCTGTTGAAGCAAGTAAAAAATGGTATGGAAATGGAATAAATGAAGGAGTAAGAAGAAATGAAAAAATAATGTTAAGTGGATTAAATGTTAAAATAGAAAATATTTCAAAAGCTAAATTAATGGAAGCACTAAAGAAATTTAAGAGTAAAGATAAAGAAGAAAGAGAAAACCAAAATAGAAGAAATGAATATGCACAGCTTTATACTATTGTTATTGATCTTGCTAAAAGAGGAGATTTAGAGCCAAGTGCTCAAGTAAATGAAATTAGTAAAAAAATAAAAGAAATTGAAAACACACATACTAAAAAT